CTCTGAGCACTCCAGCTCCTTCCAGACACGCTCCCACTCCCCCGATCCCCGTGAGCTCCCAGCTATTCTGTGCCAGGCACTGTTCTATCCACTGGCATCTTGGGGACCGCTCTGACCTCCGGAAGTTAATAAACACAGAAGGGCTGTTTATCCTGGGAGGCCCAGCCCCACCCCACTTTCCTTTTTCTCTCTCTCACACAGAAACATCAACCTTGCTTGTGCTGAAATGCAGCTTTATTTCCTGCTGGTTTGGCAGGTACCCCATCCTGCAAGCCCAGTCCCCTGGGAAGCCCGACGGTGGGCAACGTGCCCCCCCCCCCCAGGGGATGGCAAGGAGAGGGGCAGCTGAGGCACTTAGGGGCCTTCCCCGAGGCCCTGAGGGGAGAACCTGAGCCAAGGCAGGGGGGAGAGGGTCTAGTCTAGGCTGGAGCCGCCCAGGTGCTTCCCACAAACCCCTTGAGGCACTGCCGCCTGGAGGGCAGCTGCACCCTCCCAAGTGGTCAACCGGTGATGGGGAGAGGGCAGTGCCGGGTAAGGCCTTGCTCCCTAGGGGCCTGGAGAGGGACTGGAAGGCGGGGCCAAAAGGTCCTTCCAGCGTCCCAGTAGCCTCCCCTGATGTCCTGGGGCCTTCGCCAGGTGCAGAGCTCGAGCCTGGGAAAGACACACACACTCACGCTCTCCCCTGGGCCCCTCCTCCTCGTCTCTTCTCAGAGCCTGCGCCCCGGGTGTTGCTGCTCCCTGAGCCCCGGTTAAAGCACTGGTCTTGGCTCGGCCACTGTTCTCAGACATCGGCGCTGAAAGGGACCCCAGGGCATCCAGCCCAGCTCCTCCTCTTTGCCTCACAGACGGGCAGTGGTTACTCCAAGGTCACACAGCCAGTGACCGGCAGAGCTAGGACTAGAGCCCAGGGCTACTGTTGGCTAGTGCCCCCCACCTGCCTCCCCCTGGCACTCACGGGCCTGCGGGGCACACAGGAGATCTGGGGGGGCTCCCAGCGGCCATCCTCCTGGCAGCGGATCAGGGGCTGGTTGCGCTGGGTCAGCCCCTCGCGGCACCGGTAACGAAGCACGGTGTCGACTTCATAGCGCCGTCGTGGGCGGCCAGACACTTGAGCCAGGGGCAGCTCTGGCGGAGGCCCACAGGACACTGCAGGGGACACACAGTCAAGATCTGGGAGCCCGGCTCTGCGGGTGACAGCTCCCAGAGTCGGCAGGAGGAGGAGGAGGGGGTGGGCCACAGGGTGATGCAAAAAAGAGCAGAGATTCCTGGTGGACCACCTCGTTTGTTAGACGTCCCCTTGCCCATGGCCTGGGACACGTTTCTGACTCCTCTGTAGCTTTGCCCCCTCTTTTAACTTTGAGTTGATTTATGTATTTATTTAGAGAGTGCAGGGGAGGGGCAGAAAGAGAGGGGGAGAGAGAATCCCAAGCAGGTTCCCCCACTGTCAGCTTGGAGCCCCCTGCGGGGCTGGAAC